TGCCCCCTTCCTCTTGACACCCACCTCTCAGTCATTTCTATAAATTAATGAGGTCCCCTCTCAGCTGTCTACTTGCCAGACTAAACAGCCCCAGTTCTCTCAGTCTCTCTTCACAGGAGAGATGTTAAGTCCCTTAACCATCCTCGTAGCTCTCCACTGGACTCTCTCCAGTGGGTCCCTGTCTCTCTTGAATTGGGGAGCGCAAAACTGGACACAGTATTCCAGGTGTGGTCTCACCAGGGCAGAGCAGAGGGGGAGAAAACCTCCCTAGACCTGCTGGACACACTTTTCTCAATGCACCCCAGGATCCCATTGGCCCTCTTGGCCACAAGGGCACGTTGCTGCCCCATGGACAACTCACTGTCCACTAGAACTCCAAGGTCTTTCTCCATGGGGCTGCTTTCCAGCATGAGGTTCCCTTTGCCCAGCTCTCTAGCCTGTCCAGATACCGTTGGATGGCAGCACAGCCTTCCTGGGTGTCAGCCACCCCTCCCAGTTTCGTATCATCAGTGAACCTGCTGAGGGTGCACTCTATCCCCTCGTCAAGGTCGATGAAGATATTGAACAAAACTGGACCCAGTGCTGATCCCTGGGGAACACCACTGGCCACAGGCCTCCAACTTGACTCTGTGCTGCTGATCACAACCCTCTGAACTCTATTGCTGAGACAGTTCACAATCCATCTCATGGCCCAATCATCTGTCCCACATTTCTTGAGTTTTCCTATGAGGATGTTGTGGGGGACAGTATCAAAAGCCTGAGTGAAGTCAAGCTATATGACATCCACTGCTCTCCCTTCATCTACCCATTTGGTTGCATCCTTGTAGAAGGATATCAGATTAGTCAAGCAGGATTTCCCCTTAGTAAATCCATGTTGGCTACTCCTGATAACCTTCTTTTCTTCCATTTGGTTAGAGATGGCCTTCAGAACAACTGCTCCATCGCCTTTCCAGGGATGAAGGTGAGGCTGACTGGTCTGTAGTTGCCCGGATCCTCCTCCTTGCGCTTTTTTGAGTACTGGAGTGACATTGGCTTTTTCTAGTCCTCAGGCACCTCTCCTGTTCTCCATGATTTTTCAAAAATGTTGGAGAGGGGCTCAGCAACATCAGCCAGCTCTCTCAGCATGCGTGGATGCGCCCCATCAGGGCCCATGGGTCTGTGTGTTTTCAGTTGCTCCAAGAGTAGATACACCTTGAATGCAAAACGGGTGTAGTGAGCAGTGAAAAAAACAACTTTCCATAACCAGTATAGCTCATCAATCTCCAGAGCTGTGAATTGAACCGAAAGGTCTGGATTTTCATCACTACTCTCCAGTTACTCAGTCTCCTTCATATCTCCAGATTTTCTTAGTGGGGGAAAATTTGGACCCATGTCTGCAGCTTCCCCGCAGAGTACGGTAACCACCAGGCCAGCAGGCAGATGGTGTTTCCAACTCTGGTTGGAGCAAGGCATCTAGGCAGAAGAGGGTACACAGATGTTTTTAGAAATCGAGGAGGAGAAAATAGGAATTGAAAGCCTGGAATTAGAAGCCCAGGGCTTTATGTTCAGGTCTGTGTGTATTTCAGAGGGAACTCTGCTAGACCTAGTTCTGAACATACATAGAAACTGACTTAAAATAGTATGTAAAACTGTTTTTAAATGTACGAAAATGGAATCATAGAATCACAGAATCCTACAGCTTGAGAAGGACCTTTAAGATCGTCAAGTCCAACCTATAGCCCAACACCACCCTAACACTAACCTGTCTCCTGAAGTGCCACATCCAACTGGTTTTTAAACACGTCCAGGGATGGTGACTCCACCACCTCCTTTGGCACCCCATTCCAGTGCTTCACCACCCTTTGGGTGAAGAAGTTTTTCCTAATATCCAATCTAAACTTCCTCTGGCGCAACTAGAACCCGTTCCCTCTTGTCCTATCACTATTCACTGGGGAGAAGAGGCCAACACCCCTCCCACTATAGCTGCCTTTCAGGTAGTTGTAGACAGCAATAAGGTCTCCCCTCAGCCTCCTCTTCTCCAGGGTTACAGCCCCAGCTCCCTCAGCCTCCCTTCGTAAGACTCACCCTCTAGTCCCCTCATCATTCTGGTTGCCTTTCTCTGCACCCTCTCCAGCACCTCGATGTCCTTCCTGTGCTGTGGAGCCCAGAACTGCCACAGTACTGGAGGTGCGGCCTCACCAGCGCAATAGATGTGTGACTTTTGCAATTTTGACTTTTTTTCTTAATATCATTACTATATGTTTGAACATGGGAAAAATACTGAAATTCTCTTGCATTTTCTTTTCTTGCTTTATGAAAATAGTCAACCTAAAAATTAGACGGTGTTGTCTTTTCATTGTCAGCACCCTTTCTTAGGTTATCCTAGCTTGTCTTCTGTTTTCTGGGGATTCTTTTTCCAATTCTTTTACTTCAGTATAAAGTATCAGAACTTTAAAATTCATTCTCTTGCTCTTGTCCATTGTAAAAGTTTTTGTTTGTTCTTTTTTTGTCTCCTCTGTTTTCTTTCATTCACATCTTGTATCCTGTTTTCCTTCCTGCTGCTTGCTTTTCTCCTCTTTCAGTTCCTCCTCCATTTTTTCCCCAACTCTTTAACTTTCATCTGAAACAAATTATACTTAGTTTGCAGTCTTTTTTTTCTGTGAAACTCACTGGTCCAAGGCACTCCTGCAAATAGAGCATTCCTTTCCTAGTGTGCTTATGTAGATGGCCTTTTCAAGCATGGCTAGGTAGTGTATGGAACTGCCAAATTTGCCTTTAGTTCAGCCCTTTAATTGTGCAGATTTCAGTTACCTTTTCCATGAACAAAGGAGTGCAGGAGAAGTATAGAGTATTTTAAATTGCTGGAAGAAGTTGATTTGATAACGATCCAGTTGTGTTGTTCCTGTACCTTTTCAATACGGTGTTAGAAGCTTACTTCGCTAACCTTGAAAATAAAACTCAGCTTTAGACTACTAAATTGAGCTGTTATTCTAGTTTTTTACAATGTGCAGGCAATTCCTAAACAAGATTTTGTTGCAGTGTTTTATGATGCTTACTGTTTTTTTTTCTTTTGATGTCCAGTCAACATTCTAAGGCAATGTGGCAGAAATGCTTCCCCCCCCCGCCGCCCGCTCCTTGTAGTTCGTTGTCAGAATATTTCAAGGAAAAAGGAAATGTTGACTGTGACACTATCTGTGCTGTTAACTCCTGTGTTCTGTGGTGTGTAGGCTATCAAGTACTAGCTCCCACTGCCTATTACGATCAGACTGGTGCCTTGGTAGTAGGCCCTGGAGCAAGAACTGGCCTTGGAGCACCAGTCAGATTGGTGGCTTCAACTCCTGTTATCATCAGTTCTGCAGCAGCCCAAGCAGGTAAGTATTTGATCCTGCATGGAGGTTTCCTCTGCTTCTGTACTGAATCTTTACAGTAAAGTTGATTAGTATTTGGTACTGTTGATGTGTTTTGTATGCATCTGTAAAGTTTTCCAGTTGACATGCTTGCTTTCTTATTGTCAACTCCCTGTCTCTGAGGGAAACTGCTGCTTCTCAGAGATGTAGTTTTCCTTTTTTAATTCAAATTTACACTCCTCTCCCCATAAGTGAGTGTGTGTATATATATATATACAGGCATGTTACTGCAAATGTTGCTTGTCAGATAGAAACATTTTTCCCTTTCCTTTCCCCATGCATATAACATGCACTTCTCATCAATCTCCTGAATGGTGTCCTCTAGGAAGCATCATTTCATTGCTTCGGCCTGGCAGAAGATGATGGAGTGCTCTGGGGCCTTGCTATGTTTTTCTCCTGAAAAGTGGGGCAAGGAAAAAAAGCTATAGAACGGACAGTGGAAGAGGAGAATTAGTTATATCAAAAGTGTCTAGTTATCTGTCTCTCTTTTTATCATTGAGAAGGTCTGGTACTGCTTTACCGAACCATTGTATTTGTTGCATTTGTTAAATTAAAATCCAAAATGTTAACACCAGATAAATTAATCTGTTCAGAAAATGAGATTTTGAGTTAATCTGTAAGCTTCTTTCTCTACGCAGAACTCGCTTCTGCCAATGGCAGCTGAAGATGTCTTTAAACAACTCTTAGCTGCAACTCTGCTATTGCAACTTCAGATGTAAAAGTACAGTTCAGTAACCGTAATGCCTTATGTGTTTACACTGAAAATTCCCTCAATTACATTACCAATCCTACAGCCTTGATTAGCCTACAACATGTGCTGTCTTCATTTATTTCCTCGGGTAATTAAGACTGTGCAATACTAGAAAGTCTCTTTCCGTCGTTCAGGATGTGAATTTCTGGTTGTTTTAAGAGGCCTTCAAGAAAGCGCGATTTAGATCTTGCAAAGGCCTTTTTGCAGTCAGCGAATGTTTGTGAGAGTAATTATGATTGAAAACATGTGTTTTACAGCTGCAGCTGCTTCAGCTGGAGGAACAGCAAACAATCTCACGGGAGCCACGAACGGTCTGTTTCGGCCCCTTGGTGCCCAGCCACAACAACAGCAACAGCAAACAAATAGTAGCCTCCAGTCCAATTCATTTTATGGCAGTAACTCTTTGACCAATAACTCCCAGAGCAGTTCCCTTTTTTCACATGGTCCTGGCCAACCAGGCAGCACATCTCTTGGCTTTGGAAGTAGCAGCTCTTTAGGAGCAGCTATCGGCTCTGCGCTTGGTGGATTTGGCTCATCAGGTAGGTTGTTCGTATAGTGAGGAAGTTCTGTGTTAAGTGGAAAAAAATTAAATAATAATGTCTTTGAATCCAGACATATATGCGTAGATTTCTTAAAAAGAAGGTAAAAATAGTTTATGCGAGTTTCAATTGTAGGGGAAGAAAAAGGATGTGTTAAATTGGCTTGGGCTCTGTATACAAGATGCGTTTTGGAAGCATGTCCTGTAGTCATAGATATCTTCAAAATACTTGTCCTTATTGAACACTGTACTTTGCCCAAGAAGTATGTAACTGGTTTTAGTAAACTTTTTTTCTTTTCATGTTCTGTGTTTAAAATAACAGTTGCTCGCTTTAGAGATATACATTCTTTTGTTGTAATTTTCATGTCAGGAAAATTCTTAATTTTTTAAAAAAAAAAACTTTCTAAATTTGATCTAATACTGAAGTGGTTTTTTTCCATAACATTTTTATAGGATTTATAAAATGGAAAGACTTAAAACCCAAGAATAGCCCTTGTTAACTCTAGTAGGTCTAATCTTAGACACAGTTAAGCTTAAATAGTTCTGTGCAAGTTTGGGGCCTTAAATTATTTCAACAGAAGCTCCTAAATATTGTCAACCTGTTTGTATTTAAAAAAAAATAATAAAAAATCGAAGTTGCTGTGATGTTTCTGCTCTATAGCAGAAATTTCTATTCACAAGTTTTTAAACATGTAAGGTAGATTGTCTTATAAAGTCAAGCAGATATCTTTATTAAAGAATATTTCCTTGGCTGTTAAATTTGTAAGTTACAGCACTGAATTGCTTATTATTTCAACAAAATCAGTGGAGCATTTTTATAGTCTTGCAGATTGCAGATGAGTAGAAATTGGGGGAAGTTTACGTACTCCAACAGTATTCTTTTCAAAATTAAATACCCTAAGGGAAATTGGTAAAAAAAAAATGTTGGAAGAAATGTAAAAAGATGAAAATTATTGCAAGATAGCTTAATATACAGAAAAACAGAAGGAAAACCATGGCCTTCAGTGTCAAAACATGCTACCTGTCATTTGGTGACTAAGTGGAGGTGAATAGTGACATCAAATATTCTGGGTACCAACACAGGTGTTTTCTCAGTGTTGTTTTTCATAAAATAATCTGAAAAAAATATTTAACAAAACTAATGCTAGGAAACCCAGAATAAAGTTTTATGCTGATCCTCTCTGATATCTGATTTTAAAGAGAAGAAGAGGCTAGACATACCATCTTAAATTATATAAAAAAAATAATTCAGAAAAGTAAAGTGTAGAGGATAGTTGTTTAGAGTTTCTTAATTTTTCATAATATCGTAGCAGGTAAATTTTACTTACAACGTAATTCCCCTGTCCAGGTGCTGTGTTTTATCGTATAATTTGTCCTGAGCTACATGTAGGAGGATTTCAGTGAATTCTTAGCAGCTGGGTTTTGCTCTAGGTACGGTTTCATGTCACTGACAGCCAGTGGTGATGGGGGTTGGCTGCATGTTGAATGCCGCTCACCAGCTGAAGCCTCTGCAGAGTAGTTTTAAGTCACGACAGTCTTTATCCAGCCCCGCCCCCAGGGCCGCCGTGCAATCCACATTTTAGTTGTGTGTCTGCTTGAGAAGAATCAGCGCAGTTCTTTCTGGCACAGGAGATGAAGCCCTTTTTTCTTGGAGCAAAGGTCAGTTTCCGAGCTGTGTACAAAGCCTTCAGCATAGGCAGCAAAGGCTGAAATCTCGCAGCAGGATCTCCCAGGTGATTTAATTAGCGTGGTAGTTTCCACAGGGAACCAGGAAGCCTTATGCTTTTGCAGTTTGAGAAGTGCTGATGAAAGGTGCTTATTGGAATAAAAGTATATATTGAAAGTGCCCTTCTGCCAAGTGTAAATTGTACTTGCTGTAATAGCCACTTAAAAATGCTTCCTGAGTATTGTTTCTTAAGGAGCCTCTGAGTTATGTGTATATATGAATTGAATTACACACATGAGTACTTGCACAAATGGTGTTAATTCGTGTTGAGGCAAATTAAAAACAAGCTTAATTTTTATCTGCCAAAGTTTCAGCTTCTTTGTAACTCCCCTCAACGTGCTGTAAAGGTTGAATTTCAGTTAAAATACAGCCTTGAAGACTGACAGATGGCAATACAGATCTGGCCCTTAAGTTTTCAGTAGTTGCAGGAGGCTAAAAAAAAAGCTCTGCAGAAAATGCAAAGGTGAGCATGTTCTAGCTTAATGACTGAACAGCACAGTAAAATCAGTAAGAGGCAAGCATGCCATGTAATCACTGTATGTACTTTCCAGCTTCTGCTCTTTTACAATAAAAGTTACTCATACTCCATTTTAAAGGTTTGAGTACAGGATGAGTTACTGCAGCTTAACAGGTAGCTAAGAATTACGTTAACTGCGGCAGCTTTTCCCATGCCTGCCTCTGGCGTGTGAGAAGTGCAAAGTCATTGTATTAGCTTAGTCAGTACTGGAGAGGGGTAAACCGATCCCAATGACCTGCTGCTTTTTGTGAGCTCCGCGCGTATGTGGGCACAGGAAAACGCAGCTCGGCTGGTTCGTGGTGACTTGTTAAGCTGCAGTAATTTGGTTAAGACGCCCTGAAAGAAAGCTGAAGTTTGCTTAGCTTTTGTCCAGTTTGTGAAATAACAATCCATCGTGTAGCATTGTATTAACAGTCACACGGTTCGCTAGCTGAGCCAGACCCTGTAGAGCTAGTCTCAAATCTGGAGATTGCTTTCAACTGTTGCCTTAATTTGCTCTTCTGATCTCTTACTCTCGGTCTCCTTGCTTAGTTAGTCAAGTATCTCTTCCTTCTCCCCTAGTATGTCTCCCTTCCCAGTTCCCAGGCAACGTTTATCTCCTGCTTCCCCTCCCCACTCCTAAATATGTTTCTGTTTCTGCTTGTGTTGTGTGATGTTCCTGTCATTAGCTTACTACTCCAGTCTTCTTGCTCCATGGTCACATCTACCTTTTACAGCCTAACTTTTCTTCAGATCTGCTTTCTTTTTATCCTCAGTCCCACTGGTTTTTGAAAGTGCTTGCCAGTTTTTCTTGCAGTCTCCCTGTTGGCTCCTTTGTCTGACCTTACTATCTTCCTGGTTCTGGTTTCTTTTTCTTTTTTTCCTTTTTTTCCCTTTGCTTTCTTCTTGTGTTTGGCTTTTGTCTCCTCTGCATTTGAAGTAGAAAACTTCCTTTCCACGCTGCCTGATGGGCCTTCCAAACTCAAGGTGGGATCTTGGACAGCAATTTCAGAGACTGTTTTTTGGCATGGCACGCAGAAGCCTAGAAGTTCCCTGGCAGGGAAAACCTTTATCAGCCATTTCTGACATGCCATTTATGGGCAGGAGTTGAAAGTTTTCAGTCTGTAGCAGATTTCTGCTAAACTCTGATTTTGCTGAGATTTTTTTAGCTCAGTCAAAAGAGAGCATGAAAATAAAGGTCTCCTGTTGCTAGCACGTTGCTCTGAGTACGTGAAAGCATTGAATTCTCAAATAATAGGTAGCTGGATTATTTTACTAAGAATAAAGCATCATTCCTTGCCTTTCCCCCCCTCCCCTGAAGTGGCAGTGTCATTTGGGCAGGATCTCTTTTTGAAACATTTGGTGCAAGCAAGTACCTGCCATGGGAAGTGTTTGCTAAGTTGCTGATGTCAAAACAAATCAGTGTCTTGAAATGGCAAGTATCAGGCCACCTTTATACTGGGCCCTGCTGCCAGCTCTGTTAGGAAGGTACCTCACAAAGGTAAAGATTATGGAAGTATAAATTCTGGCCTCTTCCTTTTTAAGGTGAGGTAGAAATCATTTTCCAGAATTTGGCTTAGAAGCATCTTTGTTATCCAAATACCCTTAATCTTGGTTTTGTTCATGAGTATAATAACGTTCCATTTCTAAAATAGGCACTGTAGTTTAATATTTCACTAGTATGCAACAGATACTAGAATTTAACATTTCTAAAAAAATTTTATTGTTCTCCTAATTTATCCTAGACTATTCATCGCCCTGCTGAATGATGCTGTGCAGGATAACCAGTCCTTCACTAATATGTTGTTATCCAAAGCTTCTAGTCTAATTTGACTTTCAGAAACACTGGTAGTAGTAAAATTACACTTGTAGTTTCTCACCTTAATTTCCCTATCTCTGCTGTGCTTCTCATCTTCTTCTTAGCCTATTCCCTCTTTATAATGTCTTTTTAAAACACTTAATTGAGAAGTATAATTCTCATAGGGAATTCAAAGTGCTAAATTTCCTGTAAAGTATTTGACTTGAATTCCTGCAGGTGAGGTGGTTCAGAAACAGCTCAACAGCAACAATAGATTATTTTCTGAACCGTTAAACAACAGCCAATCGTCTCAATCCTTTTTCCTGAAATCGAGCTCTCCCTGTCTGACTGATAATTTAAGATGGAAAAAAAAAAATTATCTGTGAGTTTAGTGGAAGCATTTTTAGAATCATTTTTTTCTTTAAAGTGACAGTGTAACCTAATCTCATAAATTCCATATTTGTCCCAAAGCCTGAAGCCAGGCGGGTTAAAACGAAGTACTACGGTATTGCTGTGAGAAGTCTAGAATGAAATGTTGGAAGATGTGGGCATTGGTGAAATGACTTACCAGGGGTATGTTTGTACCCGCTTAGATTTACTTAAAAGCATGTGTGGTTATCACAGTAATTGTCTTTGTCATAACGATTGCTGTAATTGTTGTGATCGCATCTGTTATTGCCCAGCTGTAGTTGGGGATAGGTTTCATTCAGTTGACACTGTGTAATTAGGGTCTTTTTATTTCTTCTTCAGTTGGCAGTTCTGCAAGTAGTAGTGCCACAAGGAGAGATTCTCTATCTACTAGCTCTGACTTGTACAAAAGATCTAGTAGCAGCCTAGCACCCATAGGGCAGCCTTTTTACAATAGTCTGGGATTTTCCTCCTCTCCAAGTCCAATAGGCATGCCTCTGCCAAGCCAAACGCCAGGACATTCACTTACGCCACCGCCATCACTTTCATCACATGGATCCTCATCCAGTTTGCATTTAGGTAAAAAAATACAAAAAACGAAAAAAAAAAAGAGAAAAAAATACACTTTTTGTTTGTATGTGTGTTTGTATTTCTGTGTGTAAAATAAATGTTGCATAAGAGATTGTCACGTTACCTTTGCTGTTAAACAGTTTTGTAATGCAGAGGGGCCGTTCCCGAAAGGTGAAGAGCACGCCCAAATGCTCGTTGATTTGACAGTGGAGGGCACTCAGCTTTTTGCAGTGTCGGGCCAACAACTGGTTTTTCTTCCCTTGCAGAAGCCCGATAGAGAGCCCAGTAAGACTCATTGGTCCTTTTTGTATTACATTTCCACAGTAAGACAAGCAAAGGTGCATTATTTTTGTTTCTACATCAGTGTATTCCCACTTTAAGGACATTTTAAGATGACCCTGTGTTTAGCAGTGCTGCCCCATACCATGATAAAGTGGATGAGTGAGCAAAACTCTCGATGTAAAATTTATTGAAAGGTGACTTTTGAATCAGTGAGCCAACTACTTGCGGCCCAGATGCTTTGCCAGGAAGATGATAGTTTCTCACCAGTCTGGTGGAAAAAAAGAAAATGCATTTGTGAAAGAAGTAGCAGAGGCTTTATCAGTGGTGGCTCTCTGGTACCAGATGTATTCTTTAAGGAACAATGATTGTAATCTTGTAGAAAATTTTCAAGCTAGCTAGATGACACAGGAGCTCAACCTTTTTTTTTAAAAAAAAATAATAATCTGAAGAAACCCCACCACAGCCTACAGTGTATTTTAGAAGAGAATGCCTCTAATCTGAGGTTACTTGATAAGTTTTCCCTTTTTTCGCTGCAAATATTTGTGGTCATTTAATTTGGATGCTAAAATCATACAATGAAACTGGATGTAATTCAAGATTGACTTGCCTATTGCTCCAGTAACTATTGAGTGCACAGGTTTGTGCATGTAATAGGCACCTAATCCCCTGTACTTCTGTTAGCACAAATAGAACAGGAAAAAAATGTAAAATACACTTTAAGTGAGAAATGTGCGAGTGATCTATATAACAAGGTTAAAAGTAATTTAAATATATTACATTTACAGTTCAGTATCCCCTTCACGGTTAAGTGCTGAATACCCAAAGTAACACTGGGCAAGGGGATGTTTCAGCACGTTTTATTTTTTTTTACTTACCTTTTTTCCTTTTTCAGGTCTACAAAGTGCACCTTTGGGCTGAGACCAAGCATGGAAAGTTTCAGCCCAAATGGAGGCTTTTGAGAAAGTTCTGAACATCTGACAATGGGGTTATCATGGAAATCTTTTTCTTTCTTTCTTTTCAAAGTACTCTCACAATAGTTTTCATAATACTGAAAACTATACCTAAACCAAATTTTGGAAGGCATTATCTAAAATTCAAAAACACTTGGTTTTGTCTTGTTCCACATTTAATAAACGTTTAAAAACTTTTTTTCAGTTCTGAGAAAATAAGCTGCAGTCAGTATAGAGGCTTACCTCTCTCAGCAGCAATTGTGAAATACTGAATTTAATCCATTTTGGACTGTTTTGCAGTGTGAACTAAGCATAATAGTTTGTTAAAATCTTGTAAGATCAGTCTGTAAAGGCCAGAATGTGGAGTTGTACTCTGAAAATTGACACAGCCCTGTTGGCTTCCATGCCTACTGCCTCTTCACCTTCCAAATGAAGTGGACCTTGACTGTGGATAAATTTGTTGCTACTCTGCCAAATCAACCTGAAATATGGAAATGAGGTCTTTTGGATTTTTGCTTTCCCAAAAAACACAGTAGTTTTTAATTATTTTTTTAGCATTTCCTGCACTCTGTGTCATATCTTTGTGCAGTTACATCCAGAAAAAGTTGGAGAGTATTCCTGCAGTTAATTTTCTGTCCTGTCAATTTTATTCTGGTATGTTCATCAGCCGCTCTTGGAAGCCTTTCTTTTGTTCTCACATATGAAAAATGAGAAGGTAAACCTGAAGTCAAACAGGGAGAATATATTTCAAGAGAGGTATGATCCCGTAGTCACTTTTCAGAGTAGAACAACACTGTAAGTTCATGTCTGCATGCAGTTTCCATTGGTATTCTGATAATGCCTGTCAAATGCAGCTCTCCCTCCACCTTCAAAACTCATTGTCCTGCCTGCTTGTACCAACAGGTTCAGCTCAGTTTAACTCCTGTTTTAAAATGGGCATCAAACTCGGTTGCTCCTGTTTCAGCTGCCAGAATCCTCAAGCACAATCCTGGGAAAGGGTGCATGGTTTTATAACCCCTTTGTCAGACACTGCTGCAATTTGTAGCTTAAAAAACCCATTTCCCTTTTAAAAGAAATTGATGTTTTCCTGGTTTTGTCTCTTCTCACCAACTCTTATCCAATATCCTAAAACAGGAATGTGCTAATTTCTTTGTCCTAGTGTCAGTTTTCCTGCATTTGAAGAGATTTGTCAGTTGTCTGTAACTGCTTCTTTACTGTAATCAGTTGGAGCAGTAAGGTCATGAATTTGAACTACCCTTTCACTCCCAGGGACAAAAAAAAACAGCAAGAGGAAGTATTTTTCCTATGGCATAAAAAAATCCTTTTGGATTGGTAGTGCTTATTCTGTTTGATGGGACATTGCAGCATTTTAAGAGTTGGGGTAGAGGAGGGGGTTTAGGATCTGGGCTTTTGGAGGTAATGATTGTCTGCGCATCGCAAGCCAAGCTTGGTAGTAGTTCAGATTGGTGATATTTTATCTTCGAAAGTGGTTGTTGTGGGTAAGAATAAAGGTCTCTTGACAAGAGAATGTGGAGAACTTTTGCTTTGCCTCTGCTGTGTACCTACTCTGTCAGGCTTTGGTAAACTAGGAGTAATAAGCACTTGCATTGATTCATAAAATACGCATACATGTCTCTGCACGTATGTGTAAAACAGTTACTGGGCAGTAAATCTGTTTTATGTCTTGGTTAGAAATTATTGAAGAAAGACTTTGTTAAGTAAGTACTAACAGACTAATGCTATCAAAGTAAACGTGCCTAGATGTAGTTCTTAATATTCGTTCATGCTCTCCTTCACATTAAGTTCACTATCCGTTGTAAGGTGTTAGGAATTTAACAGGCTTTGTGTCCTTGAAGCTTAGTAAGGCTCTGGTTTAGGTGGTGTTTATCCCCTTTGTACCTCTGAGCCTCTTTCCTGTGGCTCTGAACCTCTTCCCTGTGGAACAGCCACAGAGATTTCAGTTCAATTAAACAGTGAAACAACTTTATATTATTAGTTACATTGGAGATCTTTGTTTTGTCAGATCAGAAGTGATTATCTGGAGCTAAGGGGTTATCAGAAGAACGAGCTGCATATTTTATTCCCTAGTGCTTTGTAACTGTGCCGAGACTGAAGCCTGATAACAGTCTTTTTAAACTTCAGTGTTTGCACTCAAACTTCAGTTTAGACTCGGTGCTTTATTCGGTAGGGTGTTTTCCTCAAATAATTTATAATTACGTTTCTAGTTTGCAATCAGAATTTATACAACAGGTGTCTTGAGTTCTTGAAGAGCACAGGGATGCTAGCCAGTTGGATATGGATAACTAGAATTCACGTTTCAGTTTTCCATTTCTAAGCTGTTCACACTTGAAAGTTTTCAGGAAGGCCACGTGTCCTTCATGTCCATGCTACTGCATTGGTGATTTTTGCACTCAGAAAGTAGTGCACACAATGTTTAAGAAAATAAGCCTGTTGTATACAAGAGTATATCTCTGCATATAGCAAGCACCTCTGACAATATGCTGTTATTTTGGGGGTTTTACTGTTTTTTCTTGCAAAGCTGCCACTGAGCTGCACCCTGCTGCTGTAATGAAAGGTTACATGAGAAGAAAAGCCAATTACCTATTAGATTGCTGAGGTTTATCATAGTGTCCAGGGTTTTACAAGGTTAAGCTTTCTGTGTGCTTTTGCAGTATAACAGGTTCTCCACAGGCGCAATGGATGTGACTTCAGCCTTCCTCTCTTCTCATCCTCTTTAATGTGACTGTCTGAAGTAGTTTCACGGGCTGGACGAGAGTCTCCCAGTTGCAGCGTGGTTACCTTAAAAAGGGATGGTTCCCAAATTAGGCTGAAGAAGGGTTTGATAATCCTCAGTGTGAAACGTGTATGTGCAGTTCTACTACACATGTATAACCTATTTGTTACAAGCTACCACGTTTCTTAATTCCTGCTTGACTTGCTCGATGAATTGTCACACTTGATTTATAGTTACCTGAAGGCTCGGTTAAAGAAAGGAAAAAAAAAAAAGCTGAAACAGTTCACGTGTGCAATTTCGTGACTGTGTTCTGCTAGTTAGAAGCATGCAGTTTGGGAGCATGTAATTAAAACTGCCCTAAATAGCTTCTGGCACAGGATTGAGCTCAGTGGAGCATAGAGATGCCACAATGGGGAGGTAGTAAGACTTCCTTTTCAACAGGCTTTGCTGCCCTCTCGTGGCATTAATTAGCGTTACAGAGAAATCAGGATTTCGTTCCTATACCCAAATAAGCTCGTTGAGAAAGAACCATCGTTTCAGGTGCATAACTTTTTGTGCTTCAGAATGCTGTTCTTAAAAATGACCGTGGAGCATGACTCTGCATACTGCTTCACCCGCAGAACCTTGGGCTTCTTTTTTCTTTTTTCTCTCTAAGAATTACATTGCTGTCGGCTCTTTTCTGGAAATAGTGATTAGCAATAGAAACTAAAACTAAGAAGTTAAAACTCCTTGTTTTTTCTGGCTGCAAAGAATTAAGAGGCTTTAATTCAGAAGAAAACAGTCGTTTTTTATGAGAGATTGTGGAGCATAAAGTATTTACTGATCCTTTACTGATTCTTACTACTGAATTTTGAAAACTAATGACAAAATAAATACTAATTATTTCTACCTTAGGACAACAAATGTGATGCTTGATATGTCTCGCAGGGCACTAATATGTCAGATTCTGGTATTGCAATTTGACCTTTCGAAAAAGATACTTTACCATTAATGCATTTTACCAGCCTACCGTAACACTGGTGTTGCCTGGCCTTATAAATACTTGGAACCAAAAGAAGGCTTGGCTGGGGCACTGTCAGCTGATTTCTTTTTCTTTTTCTTTTTTAATTAATTTTGTAATAGAGCACCATTCAAACAGCACACACTGCAATTTGTTTTGAATTCAAATGTAGATATTTCTTCTGTTGACTTCGAAAGAACTTTCAGTTACTGTGTCGCTTTCCAGATAGGGAAACTGAAAATGCTTTCCTTTTCCAATTCTCACGCCATAATTTTAGGTGGTGGTGTTTCGTTTCATTTTTTTACAAGTAGTAGCGTTGAGGTTTCTAGGTGAGAGCTGTCTCTGAATATTTCTGCTTGTAGTGTAGTAGCAGTATCTCTTTTTAAATCATCCTGTAGTTGGGACAGATGCTTTCTTTGCATTCTTCTTAGGCTAATCGCTGCCTGTTGTAAAGCAGGGAGGGGAGAAGCCTGATGGAGGAGTTGAGAGGGACACAGACTGATTAGGGAGCAGTATGTGAGGAGAACTTCACGGGGCTGTGAGGTTGTGACGGCTGCAGGTGGATTCAGCAGCAAAAAGGAGTAGAGCCTAAGCACAGCAAGGCAGTTCAGTTCTTGGAAAGCAAGGAAAGACGAGGCACAGTGAGAGCCGTTAATGCTTTCACAGCAAGGAAGGGACTTCATGCTTCTGAAAGGAAACTTTTAGTTTGAGGTATTTTTGGTTGGTTTAGAGCGAAGTAGAGCGTTCTTAGTTACCTGGTTTGAAATGGGACGTATTTAGTGCTTACAGGAGGTACCAGCTCGAAAGCCTGGGGTGCTGAAGTCATCAAACACTCTGCAGAACAGGCACAGCGTGACAAGAGGCACCACTCGTGCCTCCCCAAAAATGCCCTTTCACACTGTTAACTTGGAAAGGTACCTCCATAGGGACTGAAGGGTAGTTCAGATTTCATGGTCCATATTGAAACAATTGGCTAACTTTGAGACCACTAACAAGGGTATAAGTCAGTATTAACTTGTGAAGTGGAAATCTGCCCACTAGGCTAGAGCCCACCCAGTTCTAAAGTTTCTGTGAGTCTGAGTGGGTGCTCACTTTACTTGCTTTGTTACATTCTTCTAATGACATTTCTTTTCCTGGTGCCCTTCACGTAAAATAAAAATGAGGAGGAGAATGGTTTTATTTATTGGAAGATAAAGCTATTTAACTCCTCCAACTGTGATGAGGTAAATATTAAATAACAAGACCACACTGTTGTTCTCTTTGGCTCCAGGGTGTAGCCATAGTTCTAGTACACTGACTGTTTTGCTGTTGCTTCTTTTCCTCATGGCTTTTACTGACAGAACTGCTTCCTTGTAGGAGGACTGACAAATGGTAGTGGTCGCTATATTTCTGCAGCACCTGGAGCCGAAGCAAAGTATCGCAGTGCAGCAAGTACCTCCAGTCTTTTTAGCTCCACCAGTCAGCTCTTCCCTCCTTCACGCCTTCGTTACAGTAGGTCTGATATTATGCCTTCTGGACGTAGTCGGTTGCTGGAAGATTTCCGAAACAATCGTTTCCCTAATCTTCAACTAAGAGACCTTGTTGGACATATTGTTGAATTTTCCCAAGACCAGCATGGTTCTAGGTAATTATTGTTGTAAAGTTAACGACGTTGTAGTATTTTACGGCTTTGATATTGTTACGTTGACGTCAAATGTTTGAATGAGCTGCTAGTCATCTTAACAGAAGGCCTGCTGTTAATTGGAGCACGTGCTCTTATGCTGACCTTTTTATTCTCTAAAAAATTTCATTATAAAAGTAGTATAAATTTAGCTGCTTATAGTGGTTCTCACTGTAGAAATAGCCTCATAACTAGACTAGTAAACTCTAGTATTTAGGTATCAAAAAGGCGTTGATTAAGAAAACAAAATATCTGGAAGGTAAAACCATTTTTCAGCAATGCATCATCAGGTACTTGGTTATTGTTAGTCTTTTCATCTTTAATCCCTTTAAAATGAATGTTTTTTAGTATAATTTTACTGAAATGCATTCTTTTATATGCAGAGGTACTACTTTCGTTTTAATAAGTTTTATAAATGTTGAGTGCTTGCTTTACAGTTTTGAGGTGTCTCATTGAAATAGCATTTGCGAGGTTTTCCCATTGTTTATGTAAAGCATAATGTACCTTTTTTTGCACTTAGGTTTATACAGCAAAAGCTGGAGCGAGCTACTCCAGCTGAGCGCCAGATGGTATTTAATGAGATCCTGCAAGCGGCGTATCAGTTGATGACTGATGTGTTTGGAAACTATGTAATACAGAAGTTCTTTGAGGTGAGCATAACACTAAGTGCATGACCAGAAATGTGAATGAAATTCTGTAAAATCAGATTAAATTTAACAGGGGGTTTTGTTAACATCATAGCGGAATTCTACTGGACTTGAACCACAGAACCAAAGTGGATAATGCTACACACGTGTTTTCTGTTCTGTATCCCCTGCTTTTTTTCATGACAGTTTCTCTTTACACTGCTGGTGCATACATTGGTGAACATTGGTGAATGCACAGGCTGCACATGCAGTTACAGGGTTTGACTTAGAGAAGAAAAAGCAATGCCGGTGTCCCAGAAGAAGTTACGTGCAGGAAGAATACCTAGCATAGTGTGCTGTAAAAAGTATCTGAGTGGATAGAAGGTGAAGCTGGAAAATGTCCAGTAAGAAGTAAGACAGTTGCTGTAAACGGGAGTGTAGTTTTTAATGAGTAATTTACAGAACAATGTTCTCACTTTTTTTTTTTTACTTGATACTCTTTTTTTCCCAAATCAAAATACCTTCTGAAAACCATGGCTGACTACGGTATGTAAGATCTTGACCTTGCTCAATGATCATCAGTTGCTGGGTTTTTTCCATAATGTTAGGTTGGTTGGATACGTAGATAGTCGTTGGCAATTGAGTGTTTTCATCTTAATTCTGCCAAAGCATTCTCGAGAAAAAAGTGAACTAGGCCTCGGGTGTAGTGAGGTGCTTGGTTCCTTCTTCTTCAAGTGGGAGGCAAAGTTGTTTGAGCTTTCTTCAGAGCCCTGGGTGACTACAGTTGTGAGGTCGGACCTTTCTCAGCAGCGCTGCACGAACATTCGTGGTGCCACCCAAGCTCACTGTCCCCGTGATGGCCTCTCTGTGGCCTCCTGTACTGTGCCACCTCAGGAGCTTGGGTGAGCGCCTGGGAACAGGGTTACATTTGTTAAGCTTGACAGGCTCCTCGTGGAGCAGCACCGAAGGCTGTAGTAGCACCATGGAGGGAGTAATACGGGCAGGAATTACTGCTGCTGGAAAGCATTGGTTAGCTTATCCTCTAATACAGCCAGTGTACAAAACTAGTCTGATTTTTCTCTGGAAAGGCTGAATATTTCTAGATTTCCCAAAGCGCCCTTGGCAAGGATGATCATTCAAGCCACGTGAAGTTACTGACAAGCTGCCTCAAGGACTGAAATCTTTCCTCCCCGCCCTCTCCTCTTACAGCTTGCTTCCTGTATACAAGATGTAAAATACACCGACTGGTACAAATGCAAGATATCAGGGAAAATCTGATTTGAATTAATACGTTAGAGTAATCTGTAATTAATTTGCCTGGTATGAATTGCCTAAATAAGTGGATTACTGCACTTACATATTCCTACAGTCAAGTATAAATTACTTCAGTCCCTTCTGTTGTTTTTAAGGCCATGCAGGTGTGTGACTGGAATGTGGAATATTGCAAAATGGTGCATTTAGAATTTTAAAGCTTCTGGTAAATATAACCACTGAGAACACAAAGGGAAAACTCATTCATGGCATGCAGTAAAGCTGCAACACATTATTAAAATACTTACTCTGTCACGTAAATTCCAGCATGCTGCAACGTGTCTTCGTTTGTTAACAGCATGTTTGTTTCCTTTTAGTTTGGAAGCCTGGATCAAAAGTTAGCCCTAGCGACACGCATCCGTGGTCACGTTCTGCCGTTAGCCCTGCAGATGTACGGTTGTCGTGTTATTCAGAAAGCACTTGAGTCAATCTCACCTGACCAGCAGGTAATTGTAAGTTAGAGCAATACTTTTATTTTATGTCTCTTTATTCCATCCATCTTTTTATTTGCTTAAATTGTTGATCGTTCCTTTAATTACAAAATGCCGTAGGGACAAAAATAGTTGTTTAAATTTAATTGCTGAGGTACACGAGTAAATGACCAGTGAATGTGAAGATTGGACGGTTAGGGTGAAATGGAATGGAATATTCTGTTGAGGGGCAAAGAAAAAAAATTGCTGTAAAGACAAGATTAATTTATTTTTTTTTCCCCTAGAATGAAATGGTGAAAGAGTTGGATGGTCATGTTCTGAAATGTGTGAAAGATCAAAACGGAAACCACGTCGTACAAAAATGCATCGAGTGTGTTCAGCCCCAGTCACTCCAGTTCATCATTGACGCATTCAAAGGACAGGTAGTGTCAGTCATTCCTTTCCTCTGTGGGACGGCTTCAGTTTGCAGATCTTTCATTTGTGTATATGACACAGTATTTGACACAGAATCACAGAATTGTTGAGGCTGGAGAAGACCTCTGAGATGATCAAGTCCAGCCTGTGACACATTGCAGTCAGCTTGTTTTAAGTAGGATAGAAAAGGGATGATGATAAATGGTGATAAAATGGAAAAGCTGTTGAGGAGACAGTTAACATGCTGTAAAAAGATGTTGGAGACGGAGCTCTAGAAAGACCTGTTTGGATGTGTTATAAATACCAATAGAAGTATTTGACTTAAGGCCAACCTTACCGTTTGAGTTTTGTGATATGCTGTTTCAAATTTCCTAACTTAACATGGCCATTTTTGATGTCATAATGAAGTATCTGCTCCCTAACATGTATTTTTTCATTAAAATTTCTATGATGGTGTGTTGGGTTTTTTTGCTTATGTTGCAAGTCTGTCAGTGTTTCTCAATTAATGTCTGTCACAAAGGAAATACTTTGACGAAATGCACTAATCTACGCTCCCTACACATGGGGTGGTGTTAAGTGAAGGGGGCCGGGGTTTGTTTATTTAAGGTTGGGAGTTTTGGTTTGTTTCCAAAAAAGTTATTAATATAAGATTGATATTGTGCTGCAGAGTAGAGATTGTGCTGCAGAGTAGAGAATGTGCTGCAGCTAAATAAGATTTTAATACTCTGAGACAAATGTGTACTTTATACAGTCTCGAGAAGAATTGTAAAACTCTACTAAGTTGGCCATGTTACTAAATTTTACTTTAACGGGTGGGCAGATGTATTTCCTAACAAAATCTGCATTATCCTTCTCTCACATTTTTGCACAACAGCAATAGCTGAATTATTGTTGTGGATAGCAAGTGGCATACCAAGGTTTCTGGGCTTAAGTCTTTTTTACATCAAAAAATGCATATGGGGTAGAGGAGATGCAGTTTCTAAACTGTGAACAGAACCCCTCAACTAAAGCGATTCTGTTTTATTTACTGGACATCTATCCTCAGCTCCAAGTAATTATATACAAAAAAAAGTAATCAGCTAATCTGAAGTGGCAAATGAAAAATACCACACCTCAGTCATGTCGTGTAACAATATGTATCTTTTTCTCCTGCTTGCATTGCTTGAAATGATGTTGAGTCAGACAAGATCTGGTGTTTGATTCCGGCCAACACTGACTCGTATGTCTTCTGAATTAATCCCCCAAACACAAACCTGGCTTCTGAAGAAGCAAGCAAAAGGAATAAGCAAGATTTTGACTGTATGTTTTGAATAATTATTTTCAGACTTTAGATCTGTAACAGGGAGCCCATTGTAGAATGTGAAATTAGTGAGAATCGCTAATTAGTGAGCCACAGTAATCAAACTTGAAGTTTTAAAATTTGAAAATGTAGCACAAAGTTAAAAGAAAAATTTGACACATGGACTGTGCTTAACTAAAGGTCCTACTTCCAGGCTTTCCTTCGCAACTAAGGGCTAGAAATGTTGTAATGAAAACTTGGAGTCCTTGATGCACAAAAAACTGCATTTTCATCTTTCCCTGACTGGAGATGGAATTCTGATCCTGGCAGGGAATTTTTATTTTATTTATATAGAAGTAGCTGCCATGTTCAGTTCCATTTTGAACGTGGTAACAGCACTGGGTCTGTAAACTTCAGTTGGTTTAACTTCAGTTTGCAATCCTATTTTAAGGTATTTGTACTTTCAACCCATCCATATGGTTGTAGAGTAATTCAGCGTATTCTGGAACACTGCACTGCCGAGCAGACTCTGCCAATCTTAGAAGAACTGCATCAACACACGGAGCAGCTAGTGCAGGTTAGTGCATATATTAATTTTTAATGCTTTTTTTTGTCGTCACAATTTATTCCTGATTTTGGCTTATGAAATAGTTTAAATGCATTTGCCTCTTTTTTGTTCTGTAGACATTGACTTGTTGTTTTTCTTTCATTTCATAGTTTTAATGAAAATGAATTTGGAAGTTGGGAGGCAAAGAAGATATAAAAAGCCTTTTTCTTACGTTTTTGACTGTAGCTTCCAATATGGACACAAATATATCAAGAAAAATACACGTGTTGCATATTCGCTCACAGAAAGGGTGTCTTTTCTAAAAGAAGGCGAAATGCAACGTAATAGCCTGTCTTGGTCTCAGATGAACAAAACGAGCGCTACAAATGCCTTTGAAATTGCATCAGTTTAAAATACTGGAAGGGCCTCAGTGCTCAGAGGGAATTTCCACACATGAAGAGGCAAGAATTGCCTTTTGCTGCACAGTCACAGTCTAGTTGGTTTCTCAGTGGTTTTGGTTTTGTACAAGTCTCTAGTTAAAACATAACTGTCTTGGGGAACCAAAGTCCAGGGAGATAATGCCCCTGTTAAAGAATGATGATCTTAATTTTGAGGATGTCTTTCTTTAAGAGGGTAAAAAGTACTCTAGCAAAATACTGGGTTTTCAGGTTATTTACATTTTGCATGTAAACTTTGTGGTCCACTAAGTCATTTTGGATGCAGTATTCCTTGCATCACTTTGTTTCTATAATGTTGACGTTAATTGTGGTTTTCCTTGTATCTGTACAAATAGTAAATTGAAAGTTTATGCAAGTATACTCAAGTTGTATGGATTACTTGATATGAACACAAAAGAAAATTGAAGTCATCTTATTTTCAGGATCAGTATGGAAATTACGTTATTCAGCACGTACTGGAGCACGGTCGTCCGGAAGACAAGAGTAAAATAGTTTCAGAAATAAGAGGAAAAGTTCTAGCTCTGAGTCAGCACAAATTTGCCAGGTATTGCACAGCCTTCATATGTTCGAGATTCACTAACCTCTTAAAACTGTAGCACTGGATTTATCTTATTGTCATAAAAAAGGGTATGAAATGATTTTTCTTCTGTTGTGTAACTTGCTTTCTGAAGTTTCCTGTTTTTATAAAGATGAACTGCAGTGGTATTTTTATACTAGATTTGAGGAAGGGAAAGGGGAAAGGTTCTGTAGCAAAACAAAGAAGATTCCATGGGTTTATGGGATGGGTTTTGTTCACCTCGTACGAGTGGAGGGGGGTGGATTCCGAGTCTCCGTGAGAGGATCCCCAGAGCCGGGTGAAAAGCTCTCCTAGAACTTGCCTGAGAGGCCGATGACGATCAGGTGGCTCGTCCTGACTGTGCCTCAGTCCAGCCAAGCAGTTTACAACCGCAGAAAGTGGTGGCTCATCCTGACGAGGATTTTGGGCCTTAGGAAGTCTCAAAGACTGTTGGAGGAGTCCTGAACTAGCATGTAGGACTCATCTTTCAGTGCTTTTTGCTGAAATATAGATGATGTGCCTTTTGCTAAGAAAAACGCACCTCAATTCTTCTTGGATGATCTGGCAAGACTAACCTTGTCATCAACATCAAGTAGAAACGCACTGTGACATGATGGCAGCATTTGTTCTAAAAATTGATTGTATGCCAACTAGCAAGTTGTTATGTTTGGCGAGGGGCCGGTTGTTGTTTGGTTTTGAGGGGTTTTTTGTGGGTTTTTTTTTCCTAAATAGAACTGTTCACAATCCTCTCCTTGGAACTTTCTTAATTTCTGAAGCAGAAACTTAGGATCAGAAGTATTTTGCTGCCTTACAAGCATTAATGTCCAGTGGAAAATCTCTCCTGCAAGATAATAAGCATCAGAAAATCACTCTTCTTACATGAGCAGAAGTGTCCAATCCTTTAACTTCCTCCATCGTTACGGACTAAAGATCTGGAAATGGGGACGTGACGCATTCTGTGTGCTCTTCAGCAATGTTAAGACACTTGGAACTGTTCAGATAAATTTAAAATTGCTGCTTAAAAACACGTTACATCTTAAGTCACAGAACACATTTGTCTTGTTTTTCAGCAATGTGGTAGAAAAATGTGTAACTCACGCTTCTCGTGCTGAAAGAGCTTTACTTATCGATGAGGTGTGTTGTCAGAACGATGGTCCTCACAGTGCCTTATACACCATGATGAAGGACCAGTACGCCAACTACGTTGTCCAGAAGATGATTGATATGGCTGAACCTGCTCAGCGGAAGATAATAATGCACAAGGTATATTTGTACATAGATTTGTTGGTTCGGGAAATACTGCCTGTACCGTTGTTCTGCTGCTAGAACACCTTTCCCTCTAGATGTGTAGAACTCGGTAGTTCAGTCGTCTAGAACTTGATATATAAACATGATATTTAGTGGAGCTTGATAAAGCAAGATACATTCAGGTCTCTGAGCATCAAGCGAAAAATCTACTGAGAAGCTTCAAAGTTGGATTTTGTATCCTCTCCTTGTGCTAGCTTTTCTGTGAAAATACTTGTAATACAAAAGGGCAGTACCTGTCATCTTTAAACAGAAGAAATTCAAGTTTCTCCTTCTATTTGCTGGCTGCCCGTATAATCCGTTCTGCAGTTCCCCGAGAAGAGATTCCCACACCTCCTAACACACGGACGCGTTTTCTACTGAGGAATAACCACCCGTAGGCAAAAGTGTTATTGTCATAATTGCCCTGAGCTAACTAACGCGGGGCCCAGTGTGTTCCTGCATTCCCCCACTCCGCAGCAGGGTGCCCCCACCACCTATATCTGTCCAGAAGCTTTCCATAATTTTGAAATGCAGGCTTCTGACTTTTTTTTTTTTTAACAGAATATTTTTAAAGCGTAGTAGCACCTACTTAAAATGTTTGAGGGGAAAAAAATAAAAAATAACTGGTTTCTTCTTGCAGATTCGACCCCACATCACGACTCTGCGTAAATACACCTACGGCAAACACATTCTGGCCAAGCTGGAGAAGTATTACCTGAAGAACAGCGCTGATCTGGGGCCAATTGGCGGACCACCGAATGGGATGCTGTAAAAGACAAAATGAAATGGAAGGAAGCAAAATTGGAATTGTGAATGATCAAACCATACAACTTAACTATAAATGTTCTGATTTTTTTAAATCTATTTATTGACTCTGTTCATCCATTTGTAAAATTTTTATTCTTGTGTATATTTTTGGGGAGCGAATTATTAAAAAAAGTAAAAAGAAAAATATCTCCAGCCCTGATCCAGAGACCTATCAGATTGGATGGCTGGCAAAGCACAGAATGCCTGTATATGATGTAATTGTATCAAAATAGCTGTCACATATTTTGTAAATTTTTACCTTGTAAAGTCACTGAAATAGTTTTTAAAGGGAAAAAGTACAGTATTCTTTTAATACACTGGCTTGCAATCTGGTAGGTCTACCCAGCATCATAGCACAACAGGTTTATAGAGTTGTATATAGAATTAATCCTTATTTTTCCCTTTTGTGTGAAGTCTTTTATACCAGACTAAAATTGATCAGCTGCATAAACATTATTTAACATGTTGAAAAGTTAAGTTGTATTTTGATGGTTCACAACACACTATCCAAATAAGAAACAGGGCACAGAGAATTCAAGTAGGGAGTAACAAAACCACGGAACCTTTCATCACTTGCTGTGGATGCAGCGGTTTTTAAAGGGTGCCCTAAGGTTTTCTCTAGCGATGTATTAAAAAAATAAGTGCTGTATATACTTATATATTTAATTGTTGTACAAGGTAGAGGGATTAAAATGATGGTGGTACTTCCACTCAGTAACGTATGCTGTTGGAAAAGGAGCGAACCCTGTATGAACTTTACAGTCAGTTTTACAACGCAGGAAGAGTAGAGATTTGTATTTTTTTATTTTGCATATAGAATTGTAAGGATTTGAAAGTGTTGAGCATTTATTTTGCTTTCTCACCGTAGACGCAAAAAAAAAAAAGGCATTGATGAAGAGAAGAGGGGCCACTGAAACGTAAACTTGATAGCTCAACATTTAAGCATGACTGACTAAATATTCAGATAGCTTTTTTGCTTCCTATAAATATATGCATTGTATACGTGTAGTTACTAGGTGTAAGTTTACAGTTTGAAAACAAATCTCTCGTTTTGATGTTTATTACAAGCTTTGCTAATTTAGTAGTGACGCTTACCTTGGTTGTACAGATGTACATTTGTAAACCTTCATGCTGTAAATGTAATTTGTTTTACCCCTTTTTTGGGACAAAAATTTGCATTTTAGTGTATATTCATATCCCCATCCCCTTTTCTCCCCCTGGCATATAGTGTTGTATAATGTAAATTTATTTCAGCAAATCAAGAGTGATTTTTTTAAATTCTATCTTTATATGGTTTCGGAAATATGAACCGGCTTTCTTTTTATCTATTGTGAGAAACATTATGTTTTGTTTATAACATAGCTGTTGATTCTGTTAATATGGACACTTTGGGAAATCAGCCTGTTCAAATTTTAAGTCGGGATAATAAGCATAGTAAGAAACGGACTGAAATCTTTGGTTATCACAGAAACCAATGCTTCTTCCATCTTAATAAATGTGGCATGATTTTTTTTGTACAGAAGAGTACTGTATTTTTGAATAGCCTTCTCCCAGCGTAAAGCAAATATGTATGATACTGTCAATTTTTTTCTCTGGACATATGACATTGTAACAGTAACATAAAGATGATGTACATTTACAAGCGGCCTTATGTACATTTCCCAATGATCTTTTTAAGGCAGAATTGTGACCATATGTGTATAATTAAAATCCTTTTTAATCCTTTGCCTATGGAAATATTTTGGAAAAAAAAGCTTACTTTGTATATTCAGTTTCTGAAAGATAAAGAAAGTGCTTTGTATGTTGTCGAAGTAAGTATTTTGTGTAAAACGTTCATTTGGATGGCTTAACCTGAAGTTTTGACCGAAGAGGTAGTTTGAAAGGAGTATCTTGAGCTTTGATCAGCTCAAAAGGCTGTTCCAGTAGGGGTCTGATCACAGGGAAGGAAAGCAGCAGTGCTATAAACTTGGACAAGGGATTTTGTGGTATTACTGTGTATATCAGGTTGACATAAATCTCACTGCAGTGTACCTCCGAGGCGCCGCTCCTTGTAAAGGAAGCGTTGGCTCAGTAATAGGCAAATGGGAAGGTTTGTTCTGTCCTGCTTTCAGTTTCTGGCCCTGTCATGTCGTGCCTGCACAAAGTGACCTAGTGGGCCTAATTATTGTTAGTAAACACAATTCTAATTGCCAAGTGGGTTTTTTTGGTGTAGCAGTTCGGAAAATCCTTCTCGAGAAGTAGGAGCCAGAGCTTTGCCCAAGTCATGCAAAGGATGACTTTTGAGCCACTCCCTTGGAACCTCTGCGACTGTTTTCCCCCTGTGTACAAATGCTGTTAAAATCCACAGAGCCAACGTTCGCTTCGATGTGTGAGGCAGTAAGCGAGGCTTCCGGGGATGTCCAGGCACAAACTGATACCCACAGAATCATCGAATGATCTGGGTTGGAAGAGACCTTAAAGATCATCTAGTTCCAGCCCGCTGCCAATAATGTCCCAGCACTTTGTCCCCGTAGCACTCATGCCATGGTGGAACTTCCGCAGTCCTGTAGCTCTCGTCCCCAGTGCTTTCAGTACCTTGAACATAATCTTCCGCTTGCTCTTCTATAAATCATTTTGCACAGATTCTGTCCAGGAACATGAAAATCACTTGGTTTTCCTTTCAGCTATTTTCGGCTTTGGGTAGAACCACTAGACTTTTTTTTTGAGTGTTGCTTTTTTGATACAGATTGTTTACAGACCAGTTTGATTAGGTTTGACTCCAGGTGGCTCATATTGAATAATGTAATGTTCACGTGTATATACTGTAAAAACCAAAAATGAAAAATGTGTGAATAACACTGTGTGAAATACATCTGGTCTTGTGTTTTTCCTGTAGGAAACCAGCCATCCTTCATACTCTCAGTTACATGACTTGCCCGCTCTCTGTGCAGCTCAGCCTCGAGAAGGATCTCCTTTCTAGTGATCAGATGGGAACTGATCAATTATTGAAGAACCGTCTGTTAGATCGTTAAGTTTCTAGAGGTCAGTTCTGAGCAGCTGAACCTTCATGCTGTCTTACAAAGATCTTTACCAGTGTATATTTAAGCCTAGAGCCTGATGACAGTATCTCTGCACGCCCCTGGGTGAGTTCTTGAGCCTTTGAGAGGGCCGGGCTTGTTACCTGGATCCACACTCGTTGCTGCTGCCCAGGATTCTTTCAAAGTAAGATGTGAAGTGGCCTGTCTGTCTGCAGTGGAAGCGAGTGTGCTTTTTGGTGTTAAAATAACTCACCCAAGTGGCCTCTTATGAACAGAACAGCCTTAATACTCTCGCCTCCATCGCTGACTGCTAGATCCAGTGACGCTTTTTCATCAGAGCATGAGGAAGATTGAGGTTTCTGGGGTCGTAATGTCCAGATGCTTTAGAGTGCTGATGGAGATTCAGAAACTGATCCAGTCGTTCTTCCCTCTGCTCTAAGGAACAGGTATTCGAAGAGATGCCCGTGGCTTAAAGCATTTCAAGATCTAGCGACCGGTCATTAAAATTGCTGATGGCGTCGAAGTCGTGAACCTGAGGAGAAAACCCTGTACGAACTGCAGAAAAACCATTTGCTGCTGAGTTTTTGCAGCTGCGGTGCTCTAATGCTGAATTTTACACAGTGACCAGCGGCTGGTCATTGTGCAGCCGGAGGGCGGCGAGTTGCCTTGTAGCTTTGTTCAGTGATGATGCAGTTGCGTGTAGCTGCTTGGGAAAGGGAAGGACCGTGTGCTGTGCCTGATCTCAGCTGTCCCAGCCCTGGTCCCCAGCTAGGAGCACCTGTTGGTTTGTTAACACCACGGTTCACGTTGAATCAAGCTGCTGGTGGCATTCAAAGCGATTCCCAGGTCTCATTAGCCTGTGGGCAACACCGACATTCCGTTGAGCGTGTGCTACGGGCACTGCTTTATTTTGCCTGAAGAGTTCCAATCTGAAATATTTCCTGTGATTATAAACAGCGTCGGAAACACTCTGGGCCAACAGATTGACGATTCAATCACCTCTTGGCTCGGGGATGTAAAAACGCAGTTCCCATCAGGGATGGCGTATCCTTCTCAGGGCTCTGCTTGGTTCAAGGGCTGGTGCGCAGGACTGGGCTAGAGGGGTTTGGGAGAACTCAGCAGATGTAGATCCTGCAGCCGGGAGAGAGGCTTGGAGTGATGCTGCAGGATGAGCCTGGGGTGTCAGCGCTCTGGTGTGGCAGAGCAGCCCAGGCCTTCCCTGCTCCATCATCAAGAATGGGTTAGAAACCAGCACCATTATCATGGAAAGACCTGTCACGTGTCACGTCCTCCCACAGAAAAGATGGAAGGGTGTCCACAGAGTGCTGGGGCCCCTCCAGAGCCAATGATGTCCGTGGGCTTTACCCTGCTGGTGCGGCAATGATGTTAAGGAAAGGAGGCAACTGCTTTATCCAGTTGAGGGAACCAAAACCCAACGTTATGCATGAAGTTTCAGAACACAGAGGAAGCTACTGCCCTGCAGCAGGGGCAGAGAGTCGATAGGGAAGACCTAGATTATGGGTTTAACCGACCTGCTGGTGCTCTTCAGTGAGGTGGTGCAGGTGTGCTTCCTCCTTTGGATGGAGCCTGCTCCTTCTGCGCGCTAGCTCTGTGGTTAGGGAACTCGCCCAGCACATGAGATGCTTGAATCAAGTTCCCTTTATCAGCCTCAGGGTTTTAAACCCACCTCCCTCGCTTCACAGGAGTATTTCCTAACCACAAGGAGCTGGGCGGGTTCACTTTCTACTCCTGAAGCTGGGCTGGGCTTCTAGCACAACGTGAACCATCCGTTCCGCACAAGATGGAGCATGACTCCTAAAGCGCGCACGTGGGAGTGGGCAGGTTCTGCTCTCCAGATCCTTGTCTCCACCTCGATTCTCCCAGACTCGCTTAATGCAAAAGAGGTCTTGGGAGCTGCATTCCCCCATCATTAACAAACTGGAAATGCTCCAGAAGCTTTTTCTAAAGCAGCTGAAATGCAGGAAGACCTCTTCTAAAGACCATCATTGTTTCAGGAGTCAGAAATACACAGGAATACACAGGAATAAAATGTTCCCCCTCTCTGGGAACTTCTGCCTCTTCCTCCCCTGCTTGCACAGGACCTACC